GAGGGACGCACGCCGTGAGCGCCAAAGGTCAGTGGCTGGATTAGAGCAGTGGTTAGATTTGGAAGCAAACTGGTCGTTTTGGTCTTTGCCGTGCACGGCGATGGCCTTTCTGTGATTTTATTCCTTCATTTTTTCGCTGACATTAAGTGGCTGTTGCCCAAATACCCCCCAAAAATGGGGGGGGGGGGGGGTAATTCCCTTCAGACGTGCTCTGTTTTTGGTCAGAGATTGTATAAAGTTCCTTCTTGGTGTTTTATTTGGAAGCAAACATAACTGCACTGTGTTGTAGAGTGTTGTATTCTTTAGTTCCCCCTGATTAGTATTAATGGTCTGATCAACTAATGTGTTTGTGCACCCCTGTGGGTCTTTTTTTTATCACTAGGGTTTATTGTGGTATGTATAGGTAGTTTGTTTCCTTTTTGCCTGAGTTTAGTTTAGTTCCCTTATCAGGTTGCTGTTACGCACCTCTCGCAGAGCATTCCACAGCTCTTCATCGGTGTGCTGGTTGAAAGGGTCCAGGTTCTTCCTCATGGTGCCTGTAAACAGCACCGGGTCCTTGTAAACAGACAAGAGGAAAACCTTTAGTCACTGGAACGCATCGCGTGCAACAGCAAGCTACTCGTTCTCATTTTCACCTCAGACGTGAGTGATTCATCTTCCGGAAAAAAAAATGAAACGGGACCCAGAACACAAACAACAGTGACCTACAAATAAAGCCCCTTTGTGTTGCAGATAAAGTGCCTTCAGCAGTTTGTTGTCCCATTTCAGCCTAAAAAAATGCAGAATCCTGTTCTGTAATTGAAGTTTTTTTTTCTTTTTTTGGGCTGGTGAGGGTGGGGCTGTACCACGAGGCTTCCCTCTAGACACAAGGTCTCGTTTGTGTGTGAAACATTAAAATAGCAGCCCCTTGTGCGTCAACATATTCGGCATCAATAAAACCAATTGAAGCTGCTCATGAATGGAAGTTTTTGTTCCAAAGGGTCGCTTAACTCGCTGAGACCCAAAACATACCAATGACCTCGTTTCCAGAGTTATTTCCCCGGTTCTGTCACAGCAGGCGTGTACCTGAGGAATGATGGACATCTTCTGCCGCAGGTCGTGGAGGCCGATCTCCGACGTCACAACCCCGTCGATGTAGATTTTCCCCTGAGGCTCGGCCAGGCGGAATAGGGCCGAGACCAGGGAGCTCTTCCCAGCGCCGGTCCTTCCCACTATACCCACCTGAGGGACACGCGGAAAAGGGGGCCTGTGATTTGACTTTTCCACAGAGAGCTCACTTGTGAAGCACCCCGTGCATTCCTCAGTTGTAAAACGGGAGCCATATTTGCTATTTAGAGGACCACCGAACGGAGCTGGCTTACTCCAGCTCAAAGAGATCTGCTCTGAAGACGAAGGCGTCTGACCTTCTCTTTGGGCCTGAACATGGCTTTCAGGTTCTGCAGCACCGGCGGGCCGTCGTCGCTGTAGGAGAAGCAGACCTGGTCGAAGGACACCAGGCCTTTGCTCGGCCAATCGGGAGGGGGGCGCTTGTTGGTTTCCCAGGGTGCTTCGCTCTCCAGCTCGGTGTACTCCACCACTCTCTCCACCGACGTCATCTGCAAATGATCAATCCAGTATAATGGACATCTCCACGGTAGACAACTTTACAATCAAGTCCATCCAAAGCAAAAATACTTTCTTTTTTTTTTTTAAATCCCTCCAAAAGTTCAAAGCAATTTCTTGAGAAAAAGTTTCCCTCCTTTAAAAAAGGACAACTTCTACATAATTCCAACCACTGTAAACAAAGCTTGTACTGCCCCCTGAAGGCCTCGCTGGACATGCACACATTTTGTTGCTAAAAGTCAGAATGCCACTTTAGGTTTGAGAGACACGCTGATAGACAATGTTTGTTTCATGGCACATAAAGAAAAAAAAAAAGAAAAGGAAAAAAGCAGTTTTAAGGGCGGAGGATTGTCCATGAGGAGCAGAGAATAAAACAGGAGCTGATGGGAATGTGCTGCTCTGCTGATTCGAGATCTCGAAATCACACCAGGACCAGCGCCCTCAGTTTAATGGCTGTGATTGAGCAAAGGTTGAGATTAGGGATGTCCCGATCCAGCTTTTTGCATTTCCGATCCGACACCGTCCTATCAGAGCATCAGAACCGTATCGGCGGCCGTTCCGATCCAAATATCGGATCTGGACAAGCCTTGCAGCAGGTTCTTGCGATAAAGCCACAGGAGAGGGGTGTGTCTCACCATGTTCTCCACCTCTGCGCTCTGCCTGACGCCCCACTGGAACATGCCCATCAGCGTGACCGCGTAGGTCAGAGCCAGTCCCACGTCACCAGCCTCCAGCTCTGCCAGGAGCAGAAGAAGACACTTTTCAGGCCATTTTGGAAGGTTTCTGTGTTATGTTCTGCTACCCCCGAGTGGCGGCAGGCGGTAACAGCCCAAAGGGGAGCGCTCTCTTCCTTACGGTGTCTGAGCAGCAGGCAGCCGAAGGTGGTGATGGTGACAAAGACGGAGCAGATCAAGTCTAGACGGAAGGCGAACCAGCGGGAGGTGGTGAGGAACAGGAACCAGGCGGCTGATGGGGAGCAAAAGGAGTTGTTATCGCTGCTCTGCGGCCCGTCAGCCAAAAAGCTCAGAGGGGATGAGCGTGAGAAAGACCTGAATGCAGGTCCTGGTGCGCATCGAAGTCTTTCTGGAACCTCTGCTCGGATCCAAAGGCCCGGATGGTCCACAGGCCCTGAAGAGACGAGGAGAGGTGGGAGAAGACCGGACTCCGAGCTGCGGGACGGAGACAGGCGCCATCACTGTTTGACCGTTTGAATCCGGCCTCCAAAGCCATTGTGGAGGTTCATAATCAATCAGGGGCAGGACGCAGGTTTTATTCCCGCTGTCGGACACTCACTCGTGGACTCGAGGCGCTTGACGTCTCTGGAGGTTTGCAGGAAGTAGCGGCGTAAGAAGATGAATACGATTAGGAGGGGAAAAACGGGAATGAGGATCCAGGGGATCACAGAAGACGCCACGGCGATAACCCCGAGAATCTGCAGGAACACCTGCGCGGAGACAGCAAAGAAGAGAGGTAAACGACCCTCTGCGCGCACACACACACACACACACACACACACACACACACACACACACAGCTGTAACATCTGCCCTCACCTGAATGAAGTCTACAAAGGTCCAGGGCATGTTGGCGTCCAGCTGTCCGATGTCCTTGGAGAACCTGTTCAGCACTCTGCCTGAGGTGGGACAGGAAGCTTAGACGGCTCTCGGCATTCAGCTTGTCGGAGAGCGTGTTAGAAACGGTGGTTTACCGATCGGGTTGATGTCAAAGAAACGCACGGGGGTTCGGAGGATGGCCTTGAACATGCTGTTGTGCAGGGACTGGGCACTCCTCACCAGCACGTTGAACAGGAGGAGGTTTCTGACAAAGCCGAAGAGGATGGTGGCCACGGTCAGGCCTGGGGAGGCGAGGCAGAGGTGTCTGTTAAAGGGGGGCCGAGCAGGTCTGAAAGGACAGCCGGGCCCGGGCGTTACCTCCATAGATCCCCAGGTAGAAAGGCAAGTCCAGCTCTTTGGTGGCATTTGCCCCACTTGTGATGTTTGTTTGGTTTTGGTTTAGCCTTTCCTGCTCATCAGCCCTAATCAGTCAAAGAAGAAAACAAACACGAGGTTACTAACAGAAGGATGGCTGATCGTATGAGAAAATCCCAGTTTAGGTTTTTACCAGTGCGCCAGCCACCAGTCATTCATGATGTACGTCACCTGGATGATGAAGAGGACGTAAAAGCTGTGTTATAAATATCTTTAGCTTTTTGTTGCTCCCAGCGGGTTTTTTTTCTTACCTGAGCCAAGAGGTTGATCAGGATCACAAACAGCAGGACAGCCACGTTGGCTCCAGCTTTTAGGTATTTGACGTACAGACCCACGGAAATCGTTCCCTGAGCTCGGCTCTCCTCCGGAACTGTCTGGACGTGCTCTCCCTGTGAGGATGGGATTGAACCCAATCTTTACATCATAATCACTCCGTTGGGCATATAACTGTACATTTCAGATTATTGAGCACGCCTGAATGTGAGCTGCTAACTTTAAAAAGAAAAAAGAAACTGCTCATACAAAGACTGCGCTTGTCTATAGGCACACATTGATATGTGATACTTACACAGAGATTTTCTAAACTTTTAATAAAAATACCATTTGTAAATGTTCTTTTCAGACCTTTATATTCATTTAATTGGTTTGATTCAACAAGGCTAAATGTTTTGGCGGCTTGCGTGGGCCCGGAATAATCCAATATCTGCCTTAGATAAGGGGCAATCGGCTCAGACCGGTCTTCAAACCGGCCATTACAAACATACTTTGAACCTAAATGAATCTGTCAGTGAGCTAAATTCTTGCTTCAAAGAGGTGAGGCACCTTCTAACTAGGTCCCTTGATCATTATCATTATTCACTGGAGTATCCATTCATCTAACATTGACTAAAATATCGTGTCAGACATAAAAAACCTCTGACAGAAAGTAGGCTCACACAGACATAATAATTTGTCTAAAACCGGAACTGAAGGAACAAGACGCAGAGGTACCAACCGGCAGGTGGTCGCCGTCTTTGGCTGACTGGACCGAGGAGGTCCGGGAGAGCGAGGAATTCTGGGACAGAGTTCTGATCCTGGGCGGGATGTCTGGGAGAGGCTGCTGCAGGTGGTGCTCCTCTTCCTCGTCCTTCAACATGGAGGTGAAGTCCAATCCCGAGCTCTGCAGCTCCATGTACTTCCCCTTTGCCACCATGTGACCCTGACACAAGCACGCAAGTGTTTACAGACCCTTCCCGGCCAAGAACCACACACCGCTTTAGAGTGTCAGCTCTGGGGTCAACTAGTCTGCCGCTAAACAGTTTCCAATGCAAAGTCAACAAATCTGCATCCCTCAAGTTTTCAGCCCAGTCCTCGAATCAGGATGATTTTCTTTTGTCTTTCCAAAGCCATTAAAACCCTCCAATGATTCACGTGTCAACTCGAGGCAGGGGGCAGTGTCTTGCTAAGTGGTGAATAAATCGGACTGCCATTCAAAGTGACGGGGACAAACCTCCTTGAGGACGAGAATCTGGTCGGCCGCCTTCAGGTACTGCAGCTGGTGGGTGACGAGGATGCGAGGCTTGTTCTTCAGCAGCCCGCAGATACACCTGAGACGTGGACAGAGGAAGATGAACTGCAGCCGTTGTGTAACAGTCAGATGAAGAGGCGTGGTGCTGACACTCTCACCACACCTCCTGCACTTAAGAGCCTTTAGCGTGAGCTTTTCGCATGTCAAGGCCAAATGTGAACCACATCAGAGCGCCACAGACACACTGTGAGGTGGAGCACTTCAGACACGTAAACAATGAGTGCGAGCGGGAAAAGCAGAGGCACAGAAACAATGCATATCTCTGCCCTGCTGGGATTCGACTTCAAGGCCTTCTTCCGCTCAGCACAGCAGGGCTCTTTCCTGTTTGGAAGGTTTTTGGCAGAGCTGAACTGATTTTTATTTTTTTGCAAATGGACAAGGAAAGAAAACGTGCACCACTCACCGCTCAAAGAGATGTCTACCCACTTCAGCATCCACAGCGCTCAAAGGGTCGTCCAGTAGATATATGTCCGCGTCCTGATACACAGCTCTGAAAACAGAGTGCACCTCATTACCATCTGTATTGTCATTTTTCCACAATTTAAACTAAAGAGGGGACATTTCTCCAGCCCCAGCTGCTCTCCTCTACACCTGCTCTTGTACCTGGCCAGGTTGACTCGAGCTTTCTGCCCCCCACTGAGCGTGGCCCCCCTGTCGCCGATGAGAGTCTGATCACCATCTGGGAGCAGCTCCAGGTCCTTAAACAGAAAAGAAAGAATTAATGAAGGCAGTTGTCACTGTAGCTAAAGGCAATACTCACTGTACATGTTTTCTATCTCAACACATGTTGAGGCTTGTTTTTGTTCTGTCTTTTGGCTTTCCCACAAAAATGTAGGAACACAGCTCTTTAAAGACATTTTGAATTCAATGTTAAAGCTTTAGTCTGTGACACAAAGTGTACAATGTGAGCAAATATGAACCTCTGTGTGTCACAAATGATGTCTGATCAGCGTTGACCCGCAGTGTTGGCCCGGTAAAGGCATAAATAGGCCTTTTTATTTGGCTCAGTCGCCAGTCACATGACTCTAAAAGTAAGCTATTTATTAGGAAACCTGACCCCCTCATTATCCTACATGACATCCATCCTTTTGGGAAACTTGCTGCTTTCAGTGACTCGATCCTGCTTCCATTCACTATTTGTTGCCGTGGCAGAGACACAAATCGCTAACTAAACCAGATCTCACCCTTTTTAGAGCGCAGGCTATGATGACGTTCTCATACTTCTGATGGTCCATCTCTTTCCCAAAGAGGATGTTGCTGCGAATGGTTCCGGGAAACACCCAGGGCTGCTGAGCAGCGTAGGTCAGCCGACCTCGGACTTTCAGCTGCCCTTTATCGGACGGAAGCTCTCCCAGGATGGAGCTCAGTAGAGACGACTGGATGGTAAAGAGAGCGAAAGGTAAGCAAATGGCAAGATCTGAGGGTTGAATACAGCTATCTAAATAATGGGATGAGCACCACTCTGACCTTCCCAGCTCCCACTGTTCCAATGACAGCCAACAGTTGTTTTGAAGTCAGAGAGAAGGAGATGTCCTTCAGAGACGGGGCATCCAAACTCTGCCAGAAAAAGCACAGACTTTAAGAAAAATCCAGAAATGGGAAACCGTAACCATAAATACCACTGTAGAACTTGAATTTGGACATTCTGTTTAAAAGAATGCTTTCCTATTTTTGGTGCCACTGTGAGATGGGAGTCTTCACCGTGCTGTAAAGTTGCACAGCCTTGGGTCACACAAACGAAACCAAGCTGGTGCCCCAGAGTCTGACCTTATCCCAGTAGCAGGTGAGGTCGTTGACCTCCACCACGGTGTTCTTCTTCTCCTCCTCTGGCGTAGCAACGCTGACTTTTGTGATTTCGTCCAGCATCAAGAACTCCTTCACAAAGAACCATGGAAAAAGAGACATTTACTTTTTGTGAGATATGGAATTTAAAAAATGAAATGAATAGAAAAGATTTCTTCTTATCAGTTACTACTTCTTTTTGTAGCTGAGGGTCAGGACCATTTATGAGTTTAGGGAGGAGGGTTGGGGTGGGGGGTAACCTTTCCCTTATCGTAATCCTGCCTAACAGGTTACACAGGTTATGTATACGGCCACTAAAGCCTCGTGTCTGCTTTTATAAGCTTTTCACTGAACGCCAAGTCATGCTGACTTTGAAAGTTTTATGTGTTTTCTTTCGTTCGCTATCTGGAAGGGGGGCAGTTAATGGTTAAGTGTGTAAGGAAGCACTGTTACTGGGAGAAGGGGGGGAAAAAAAGGATCATTTGTCAGCTGAATGGAGCGATCCGATGGCCGTCCCACTCCCTCAATGGACTGGTCTGACTGTTAGTGGCGGCGAGTGTGCACGCTTTTAGCAAAACACCAAAGCGCAGCACCTGAATTCGTTGGATGCTGACACGGGTCTCGAACAGCTTCTCGATGGCGTTGGGGAAGAAGAGCGTGACGGTCAGCCGCACCGCCGTGTACAGTGACACGGTCACAAAGACCCGGCTGGCAGAGATGGTGTTCCCCAGCAGCACGTACAGGGTGAAGGTGATGAAAACGATGATCTTGCTGGCACAGAAAAACGAGGCCATGTTGAGGCCTCGCAGGTAGGAGCTCTTCATGATCATGGAGATCTCCTTTCTGAGAAGACAAAGAGGCAACACAACAGGATGTGAATCCAGGCCTGTTTGCAAGCCCTTCAGGACAAAGACTGGTGACTACTTACATCTACAAATCATTAACATGTGTTTTTCAAGTAGACTGCTGGAAACAAAGTGACAGAAAACGACATTTTGAATAGTTTTGACAAGCTGGTTAATCCGTTGAGTTGGATGTCTTGTTTTTTTGTTTATTCTTTAAATATGGATCCGTGATTAAGTAGCTTGCTCTTGCCCTTAGATTTGTATGAAAAGCATGCCCTCTAAGCATCAAATCTAAGCATGTTAGATGTTACCATAAACTGTAGCAGCAGTGTTCAAACCCCAAGCCACAGCCTGAGCCTTAATGGGGTCTTAAAAAAAAGTGACCAACATTTGGGTGGGGGTGGAAAAAAAAAGAAAAGAGGAAACTGCTGAGCAACTGTGCAAGTTTCATCTCTCAGCCGGAACATCAGACAATTGCAAATGCACAGAAATAAGACAGAGGTGACAATACGAGGTGTTCAAAACGCTCATGTTGCGACATCTTTATGATATCGCTAACGCAGAGATATCGCTAACACAGAGATATCGCTAACACAGGGGAGCAGGCTGAGTGTGAGAAAGGCTTTTACCCTCTGACTTCAGAGACCAGAGAAGCAAACGGTTTCTCCCAGGCGTACATCTTGATGATCCTCATTCCAGACACCACTTCGTTCATCGTTCTGATTCTGTTATCGGTGAGGACGGCCGTCTTACTCCTGGGAAGACAGGACAAACATGCATGCTAAATCTAGAGCTCATCTCTGTCACTGTATCTGAGCACCATTCTTTTTTTCTTTACACAGAGGAAGCTATGAGCTGTGCATGTTCCCACACATTTTAAGCCTGGTTTCGGCTGACTTTGGCGTGCTTTTTCACCTGAACTTGGAGAAGAGCCTCCCAAACATGGTTTGGGTCGGCATGAGGAACATAAGGACCACCATTCCTGCCAAGCAGGAGGGACCGATCTCCATCCACAGTAACCCCACGACAGCAGCGGCTTGCAGGGGCCCCACCCACAGGAAGTGCAGGAAAATGGTCACCTATAGAAGAAGACTTTTATGAGCATGGCCCTGATAAAGACCTCATGACACGGGCACTTAACTTCCACACAGAAATCCAGAATCGGTGTGACAGATGGACATGTTGCAATTAGCCTTCCACTGCTCGCACAGCAGGCAGAGCCCCGATGATTAAATTGAAACCCGACATTCCAAAGAGACAAACAGGATTTGGTGCTTAGAGTGTAATTAAGCCTGAACCTCATGCTAGGAAAGGGACTTGCCAAGGTTTCTCTAAGAAATGCAGTCAGGACAGTGCTGTTACACAAGGCTGTAAGAAGACTAAGAAGGCATAAGACCCAAAGTTATTACACTCCGCAAAGTGATACATCTGCCAAGCTACTTTGAGGCCAAGAAGCCAATGCTTCGTAAGTGACTTATAACATAACAGACCCTAGAACATTTAGCCTGATCCGGTTAAATCTCTTTTCACCAGGAGCTGTTCTCTATTGATCATCAGTCATGAGAAAAGAATGACACCCTATTTGCCTTACAGAGATGGTTAAATGTGAGTCAACACAAACAAAAACTTGATTAGAGGCAACACCCAGTGGGATGTATAAGTATAAAAGGCCTAAATATGCAGTGTACAATGTCCTCCTGCAAACAGGGATTTAGCACTATTAACCTTGCTGCAGCCCCTTCGTTCTCAAAAAGCCAATTTTCTCATACATCATCAAACTTGTTGACATCATTGGAGAGGAGGTTGACAATCTGGCCTGTGGTGGTCTTTCCCATGGCTGAGCTGCTTAGACACAGAGCCTAAGAAGAAAAACAAAGTATCAAATGGTGAGCAATTCTTAAAAAAGGGATTAAATGGAATAAGCTGACGAATTCTGTCAACACTGTCTGATCTGACTCTGCTATCCCTTGCTGTGTTCTTTGTTTTCATCTGCACCTTCTTATAGATCAGGTGACACATGGCCACTCTGATCTTCATGCCCGCCCTCTGGACATGGTAGAAGTACAGGTGATGGAGCACCGTCAGGCCGATGGTACAGATGGTCAGCCCGCCTGCGTATCCCAGCGTCCGATGAAAAGCCGCCTCATCGGACATGTCGTTATTTTCAAAGTACTCAATCATCATCCCCAGGAAAACTGGCTGGATAACCTTTATCACCTCCTGATGAACCGGCGAGAAAAGGACGAGTGAGGTACCGCGACACGGTTAGCACATCAGTTCATGCATCCAACCAAGAGACGGGCTAAAATCTGACCTCTATGAGAGTAAACAGCCCCAGCACAGTGTACGACTTCCAGTAGCACTGGATGATGGCTTTGGAGAGTCTCGGTGCCCGCATGTCCTTGGACGCCTTCCGGACCTCATTGTCCCAGTACCTGCGGTAGAGAGATGCCATACTGTCAGCCTAATTTTCTTTAATTGATTCGGATAAATCACCACCACCCACACATGTGGCAGAAGAGGTTTCCCTTTAGCTGTACACAACAATATTAGTCAGGTTCAAGCATGTCCACAGCTTGGCGGGGTCCTGGCTGCCTCTGAGGGGAGCTGCTCATGGACAAATATTTAGTTTGTGGTGCAAGAGCAAACATCCACTGACAACACAAGCCTCCTGAAAAGGCCTTTTTTTTTTGTTTACTTTTTTTTTTCTTTAAATAACCAAGAAACATCATCGATAAAGCAGGTCTCCACACAGCAGCACCATTCACTGCGGCACAGATCCCTCGCTCATTTTTTTCACATACACGGTCCTTAAATGGAACCATGATTGGGCCAAGGCTTTGGAAACTGACTCATAAAACAATGCACACCCGCTTTTTTCCTTTTTCTTTTTGTTTAATGCACACATAGGAATAAAAGCTGAAGTTTTCCACGTTATAGTCCACGTTATGGTGTTACTTCATAGACTAAAACAGACTCCTGTCAGTTTGATATCCGCTTGCAGGTGTTTATCTAAAGGCAAGCCTCTCTGATAAAGTTTCTGCACCAAAGCAAAGAAGCAATGCCTTGAAACGACTCTCACTGAGCCACAGACAGAGTTGAAGCTTCAATTCGGAGCTAACTGCGGTTGATAAGGTTTCACCAGTCACACGGACAAAGTTAAAGTGTTTGGTGAAGCTGCTCGTAATGGCAGCTAGTGGATAATATACTGGCTAATGCAGCAGGGTCTCAAACACTTAGTCATTAACTTGGTGCTTGTTTTGCTTTTGGTCCACACTGGGCTGCTTTAGGGTGAAACAAGAGGGAAAAGAAGACCCTAAACAATTTCAGAAGAACTTGACCAAATCTCAGAACAATGTTAAAAAGTGTACCCACTTGCCAATGTTGTTGCATCATTGGTGCTTTTATGTGCACATATCCAGTCAATTGAGATAATAATGCGCTGCGTCATTCTGGCTTGCATTTAGATTCTGTATTACATGTTATAAAATCCAATAAACTCATCGGTACCTTTAAAATCTCTCTTAAAAACTGAATGAACCTAGAGCCGTCCTCTGAAAGCGAAATAGGCTTCTGGTGGATAATTGCCTCACTGACCTTTGGGTTGTTTCGTGCACTGTACTACAGAATGTTTAGAGAATACTTCACAGGCTTTATTACCTCTGGAGGTCCTGCCCCAGACTCGCCGACCTGTCCTCCGCCAGTACCTCGTACATGTCATCTTCTTCGAGCCTGCGTTTGTAACCGATTCGGAACAGGGGGTTCAGCCACCTGCAGAAAGTCAGTAGGAGAAATCATGGAAGGCTCCGAGTACAGAGTGTCTATTCATGATTTTATTTAGCAGAGCATCAATTCCTCGCTGTGTTGTTTAAAAACCATACAAAAAGGCTGTGAAAAAGCATGAAATTCCCTTGCGGCCACAATGATTCATCCTGCTCGGATCTATTTGATAGTTTCCAACTTACAAGTGTCTTGTCAGACATTTTTGCTCTTATTTTCCGAGTCTTGCTTCTTTGCTCTAAGTATTGCTTTGGTTTTATGTCTCTTTACGGTCTCACCATGCATCTCAATTATGGTTAAAAGTGTATTTGAAAATATATTGACTACCACTGTGGAATTTTTGAATGTGTGTGGCAGCATATTCTCTTGTTTAGAGTGTGTGATCACCTTGGCTTTTGTGTTACTGTGCATCTACGACCCTTCCCCTTCTCACCCTACGTCATCGACTTTGGTAGAAAATTATGACTAATGTAAAATTCAGCCCACTTCCATTCATTGTGCCTCCCTCCTCTCCTGCTGGGAAAAGTTCCCCCTTCTGCTCTGAAATCCTCCAGCAGCAACAACATGAGAATGTAGCTGATACTTTATACAAAGGTCAGGTTTAGGTTTCCATTGTAAATCCACATTTTTCTGTCTTTTACGACTTGTAAACGTGTAATCGAGGGATTTCCAGTCCATATGTTGGTGCATTTCAGGATCTGGACACTTTTCCAGAGCTTGTTTTGAGGCTACAGCCTCTTATACTGAGTGTGCTTCTCCAGAGGTGGTTTAGTATTTCTCCCTGGCTCTCTTTTACCGCCTACCGGGACACTTACGACACCCTGTCGCCCACCTGTGTTCTTCCTCACTTTTAAAGTAACTTTTTTTGTTTGTTCCTCAAACAGGAAGCACACGGTCCCCACACCGCAATTACACTGGTGTTACAAAAGCAAAAGGTCAGTGAGAAACCGTTTATGCACAATAAGTCCTGTTTCTGACTCACGTGCAGTGGACAGCTCGTTTAGTGACTAATAGGTAGACCCAATGTTAACATAAGTCGCTTAAAAATACACTTCTGGTTAGTTTCACTTTATTATCTAAATTGTAGTGCTTCGAACCACCCTAAAGTACAGCAAACATTGCTAATTTTCAAAGCAAACTGATGTGTTTGGTACGTTTTACATCCTTGCACTAAGCTAACAACCGTGGAGGTCCACTCACCAGAAGAATATCTTCGACACAATGTTAGCCGTCGCTGCTGGGTTAGTCTTGACATCTCTATGGACTTGCTCCATTGTAGCCGGCCCCTACTAAACCAGCTCCCACCAACTTGCTTCCCTCCTGTAAACTGCTGCCACCGGCTACTGAGGGTAACTTAGAAAGGTCCACATGTTCCATGGGGTCGGTAACTCCAAGGTACGTTGCGTAATTACAGTAAGGAACACTAGCAGCGTGAGTTGGAAAAAAAAAAAAAGGAAAAAAAGACGGGGGGCGTTCATACCTTTATGCCCCGCCTTAAGAAATCTGATTGGATGAAATATTCTAACAGTGTTGGAGAGCTCTCACGTGATTGGCCAGTAAGCATACTGTCAGTGATTATGAGATCAAACATATTAACCTTTATGTATTAGGAAAAAAAATAGAAAAAGTTTTTTTCACAATGCATTTTAAATTGAATTTGCATTGATTTTTATGCATTCATTTATTATATATATTTTTTTGTGTTCAGTTATGTCTAATAGTATTTATCGGAGGGAACAGTGTGGTTTATTCATTTTTCCATGGGGAGGAAAACCCTCTCAGGGAGGCTCAATCATCCAACTTCTCTTATAAGGTGAACCCATGCTGTTTAAAAAATATTGAAGTCTGGGTTTGGTGCAGGATTCAATCTCAAACCTGTTGGCCACTGCTTTTCAGTCCAGTCCTTGTCCTGCCATCCTGAGCCTTTTATCCCTGCTGCCCTTCCATGGCAATAATCTCTGATGGGGTTTCGGTGAGGGTCGAGCTAAGACCACCCCTTCCTCGATTTCTTTAGAACACTACAATTGATATGCAGAACAATTCTCAAGGCTTAAAAATGGAAAAACTGGGTGCCTTAATTTGAGTCAAACTCAAACTGAAAACCAGTCTTTTTCATCTGCAATAATTTACAGTAAACATTTCCAAATAGGCGTCAAGGAAATTTATATAAGTTCTATCAATTTGTCATCAAAATAAATCTCTACTATTGGCCAAGACTAAACTGTATTAAATGGCAGTTTTTCACATGTTCCAAACTTGCATCAACTCAGAGTGATCCTGTTAGTTTTCCTGTAGGTCATCAATACTACATAGAGGGAAGTCAAGTTCTTTTTTATTGGCTATCTTTGTTTTCTTGACACATACCTCTGAACCTGACAATCAATTTACTTCACCCCCTCAGTCATGGTAATAGGCTGTTTATGAGGATTAAGAAAAATCTTCCAGCAATGATAAGAAAGACCTGACCTGGACCGGATCAGAGCTTTTCAATGATAACTCTCCATGAAAAAGGAGTTCTGCTTCCATGCTTTCTGCTCTCTCACACAAAGACGCATACATGTGCTGTACACATAAAGAGGATGCCCTATAAATAAACAGTGGGCCGCTGATGATGGATGACCCTCTGCCATCTACAGGTGTTTCCTGTACCGGCGTTACAGAAAAAGGGAAAGCGGATCCCACAAAAACGCCTCAGTTATGTTTCAACCCAGCACAACATTCCCATCGCCTTCCTACTCCGGTTACGGTTTTCATGGAAACCTTTGAAGAGGTCTTCTCACGTGCTCCCAAGGTAAAACATACTAGACTGACACTCTTAGTCTAACGATAACAGAGCACAGTGATCATAGTAAGGAAATCGTGACCTCTCACGATTTCCTCTTGTTGATGTTTAGCTAGCAGTGACTGGGAGAAAGGCCAAAGTAGAAAAGTCGGCAGGAGATTATCTAAGCAGCAGAAGTTAACCAAGAAACATGTGTGTACAGATCAGTACTCCTTTCCCATGCTCTCTTGGCTTTGTAATATACCTGCCCTAATCTTCAGATGTTCTAAGGTTCCGTCCTCAAAACAACATGAGAAAGAGAAAAAGGAAAGAAAAAAAGTTCTGTTTTTCCAGTGTTGTTTGTTAAGCCACTCACCACTGACCGATGATTCATTAAAACATTTATGAAAAACTCTAAACATTTGGTTACTGGCAACATTTTGCTAAAAACTAATTAATTACGTGCAATTTTCATCAAAAACGTCTTTGACTGACTAGTCAAAGTTCTATTAGACTGTATGTCCTTTATAAACAACAAGAAAAATGGATGAAAAGGTGACTAAAGAGGAAGTGTAAGGGAGGTTTTCTCTTTTTTTAAAAACTATCTAGGGCAAATAAGCAGTCATACAGGAACGTAAGATAAACTATAACAAACATCTGAAATGGGACCCGATAGATGGATCTTGACCTTCAGTTGCTGTAACAACTGGAGAACTATTCCTGAAGACTACTTAAAGAAATGAAAAGAAAGCTTGAATTGCCTGGGCAATCATAGTTCTATAAGCTCTTTTTTTTTTTGCCCCATGTGCTGCATAGTTCCATGTAAGTTTGCACGTGATGCAATAAGCAATTGCATCTCCTTCCTGTTTTTTTCTGGCAGATATCTGATCTTGTGACTTTTGCATGTTCTTCCTACACAAAAGGCACTTAAGATTGTGATTATTGCAAAGTTAGCAAAAGGCCAAAGGTATGATAGCAGATTTTGATGAAAAAGCAGACCCCATTAGAGGCACACCTCAAGGGGGCACCACAGGACAGTAGCACAAGAAGGTAAAGATTAAAAACCTAACTAATCATTCTTTAAAAAAAATTCCCCCGATGATTTCAATACTCTTGCATAGGAATGGACAGATTGCAAGAAAGAAATAAACCAGTCTTTGTTTAAAGACGTGATTCCGCCCAGCTGTATTTAACTGCGTCATAAGTTCTTGGTTTGATATCCCCCTTTACAGACATATATGATGCTTCAGGCGCCTGCAGCATCAATTCCCTAGATATTTGACTATTTATTATTTCAAGGAACACTAAGAAGACTGAAGATTTGAATCAAAGAAAAAACAGAGAAATGATAAATCGTAGACTGTTTCAATCAGCTGTTTGTTTCTCTCTTGGGAACAAAATATTCAGTTTTTGATTTAATTACATTTTTTTACTAGTTCACTGCTTTTCATCCAAGAAAAAAATCTTCCCCTATCACCGTTACAGTTATCCAGGACATCTCTGTAAATCAGAAGTTTTACTGGTCAACCCAGTGTTAAGCAACCCCATTTATTTCGTTGTCTGAATGACTCACAGATAGTCACGGGTTCATTCCTGAAAATTGCACCAATTACCTTTTTTTTCTTTTTTCTTTTTTTAGCCAAGAGAACAGTGCGGAACATTAGGTGATCACAATTATCAGCATGTTGACAAAGATAAGTGCCTGTTCCACCTGCTTCCCTTTCATTAATTTTTATTTACAGGATCAGGAGAGGTAACATTCTAACATATCCAGGCAACAGCGCCCTGGAAACGAACCTCGGAAACCTTCGGCGCCCAAGGGATTTCTTACCGGCACACTCAGCTTCTTCTCGCTTTTATGATCCCCTGACAGTAAAACACCTAGGCTTGGTTTTCCTGGAATACTTGTTATGGGAACTTGGTACCTTTATGACCCCTGACACTGTACAGGGATCAGTTTTAAACAGGGAAATCGCAGCACAATCAGGAGTGCCTGAAAATGGTTCTGGTAATTGCATGCCCTAGAAACACTATTTCCTCCTCTACAAACACAGATTAGATCTAATCCTTGTTTGGAACTGCTCAATAAATCAGGGCCACACACAACGGCCCAACCGCTGACCTCTTTTTAGTCCAGGATTAGAGGAATTCTTTACAGGGCCCAAATACTTATTTTTCACCCAAGTCAACCCAAGTTACTTTTGCATGTGAATTTCATGAGTTGCTTCATGCACTTTCTCTGGTCACGCTCCCTTTCTCCTCGTCCCCGTCGTCCTGCCCCGTTCCTCGCTCAAAGTTCAGCCCCCGCTGTTAAAGTACAATCTCTACACGTGACACCAGCACTGATAAAGTCAGACAAGACAGGTGCAAAGAAGAGCAGAGTACAGCTCAGCCAAAGTTTTGGCGGCCCGTTTAAAAATGTATGCCACCAGGAACACTAGGCGCGTAAAACATTAATCTGATCTGAGTCTATGGAGTCTGATTTTAGGTTCACTTTTTGTGTTTACACATTTTTATGGTCTGAAAATTGCCTGAACTGGATGGCCCGTAGATTGAGAGCAGCCCTCTCAGGGAGGATTTCAGCTTTCACCGGGATTTCCATTTACAAAATCACATCCGTTCAAAGTCAACAGGAAGTATTCAGATTTGTTTTGTTTTTTTAGCCGATTTATGTGATCTAATCGCTGATGCAGTGATGTAAACTGAAGGGAAAGTGAGAAAAAAAAGAACTCTTAGTCTCTTCTGCCACTAGATGAAGCTATAGGGCTGTAAACGGATCCATCTGCATCTCAGGCAAACTGCATGAGTTCAGATCTTAAAAGAGCATTTGGGCTACAGCCTGGAGATGAATATGAAATACATTTTCATATTATTTTAAACAAAGCACTTTGAGCACAATATTATTCATGTTCTTTCCCACACAGTGAGTCTTCAGATTCTTTGAGTTGAAGACTCCCTCCTGCTGCAGATGCTCTGTGGACTTGAATTGTGGACCATGTGCATCAAGGCAACGGTCTGAAACCATAGCTGACTGTGCACTTATCCAACTATTCACATTTTCAAAAGAACATATTTTTCAGGTAAATACGCTTTGGCGAGGACTGAACAGATGAATCGGGAGCAAAACTCTGCAAAACTGCCCATGCTGACGTACCCTCCCTGGCCGACCCTCCCACCCTCTCTCAGAAACTCCTGAGGGGAAATATCTCTTCCAAGTCCAATCGAGAGCCTATAGCCCCAGGAGCTAAAAATGGGTAACATGGCGACAGAAATAGTGGCCTTTCTTTTGACCATCTCCGGATGGATCCTGGTGTCATCCACGCTGCCAACGGACTACTGGAAGGTGTCGTCCGTGGACGGGACGGTCATCACCACGGCGACCTTCTGGTCCAATCTGTGGAAAACGTGTGTGACCGATTCCACCGGGGTGTCCAACTGCAAGGACTTCCCATCGATGCTGGCGCTGGACGGTGAGTCTGTGATTGTGGTGTTTGTTTTCTTGTGGGATTTCAGCTGAATCCATAAAGTCAGGAGCACAGACAGAGCCAGGTGGAGTCTGTATTATGAGGGGAACACTGGTGGTAGAGATGGAAGACAGAAGGATTTAAAATGCTCCACCCTCAACTTTGTTTCAATTTTGAAGCCTATATCCAGGTATGTCGAGCTTTGATGATCGCCGCGGTGTGTCTGGGATTCTTCGGCGCCATTCTGGCCCTGGTGGGAATGAAATGCACCAAAATAGGAGGTTCGGACACCACCAAGGCTCGCCTCACCGTCCTATCAGGGTTCCACTTCATTCTCAGTGGTAAATACCCCTCATATTTAAGCACGACTCTTAACCATGACCATAAAAGTCTGCTTGGATTCGGGGTATAAATCTGCTTGTTTCTCCCCACAGGCATCTGTTGTATGATTGCATGTTCCATATATGCCAACAGGATCACTACTGATTTCTTTGACCCCATGTTTGTTGCACAGAAGTACGCATTCCAAACCAAAAGCCGTGTGTGACAATTCGGTGAGTACATTCAGACGAAGGCGACTGCCGTCCTGAAGTCTGTGATTCTTTCTTCCTGGCGCGCAGGTTCGAGCTGGGAGCAGCTCTCTTCATCGGCTGGTCTGGATCTGTGCTGTGCATCTTGGGGGGGCTGATCTTTTGCCTGTCTCTCTCCGGGGCCATCAGTGTCAGGCAAGTTACCGTGGAATTTGATTTGGATGGATGCGGTGGGTTGTTAAATGAATCACGGCAATTCTTTTGATTCATTTAACTGGAATAAGGGAGGTAATGCAGAACAAAACCCCTCATCCATCGCTCTCAACAACTTGTATCATAATTGCCGAACCCACGGGGTAGGGTGCTTCTGTCGGTATGGTTCAATGGCTGAATGTTTTCTTTGTTACAGTCACCTTGACTGAGGGCAGTGGTTGGGGAAGTGTTAAATCAGCTCCTCTCTCTCTCTCTTATGTATGATCAATCTTTTTCCACTTCAGAGTATCCCTAAACTGTGAAGAGAGTAAGAAGATGGGGGGGAAAAACGCAATACTTAGAACATTTTCAGCAGAATGGGTAATGACTTTATACAGAGCTTATTTTTTCTTGGTTCATGTTTTAGGTTTTTTTGGATAGGTGTCCCACCAGTTCTTCATTTCACCAATTACTCCCTCCCTGTATACAAGTTATTTCCTTCAATGTCAGGGCCCCTGAATATTAAAATATTTGGGGCTTCTTATTCTAAAAAAGAGTTTTACCCCCAGTCATTGAACTCTGTTACATGTCATAGTGTAAGGCAGATTTAATCCCACTCTTTTAAATGAAACCTCCATGTGTTTTTCTGTTGTAATCATACAGGGGAGGGGCGTCGTATGTGCCCACGCGGACCGAACAAGGCAAGACAGCTACAAGCCTGCAAAAGGAACCTCTGAAGCAGTTTGGCAGAAATGCTTATGTGTAAATATGGACTCTTGTGTTTTTATGAAGGACCTATTCTGGAATTTTTCATATTTTATTTATATTTTGTGATTTGAAATTGTAGGAGATGTAGGACACGATTACTTTGTTCAACTCGCATGCTTCCAATATATATACATATATAGATAATTGTTGTGAGATATATGATTTGTGTGACCATTCACAGCTTTCTTTGCAATAACGAGGCCGTGTTCCTGTTTACATAAGGAACCACACAGGGCCACTTCTGTCAATATCTCATAAAAGATAAGCTTGATGCTTTTTTGCAGGCCGGAAATTTGATTTGGCACAAAACAAGATTAAAAGCCTCCGGTCACCTTCAACAATCTGATCCTTCCTGGCTACCGCCTGCTAACACACAAAGGTTGTAAGTCAAAGAGCATACTGGAGAAGGCAGATTTTCCATGTTTTTTCTCTGAGCTCTGTTCTCACAGCATCGATTCCCACTGAGGTTCTCTTATGAAAAACACTAACTGGAAGCTTAAACTGAAATATATTTATATGATATTTAAAGATTGAAGTTGTGCTTGTAATTTGTATTTTTTTTATTTAGAAAATGAGTTTGGAGTCACATTGAGTTAAATCTTTATACTATAAAATCAAACGAATACTCCCCCCCATTTTTTCAGCCTAGGTTTGTCTGACCTCTAAGAGCTGCCTGGTCACATCTGACCGCAGAGATGGTTCTAAAGATCTGGCAACCTGGGCTTGAGATTTCCCTTCCCATTAGCCATCCATCCCCACCTGGGAATTATTGTCTTTTTTTTTCCATTTCTTTTTTTCAAAAACCCTCAAAATTTAGCTTGGCCCAGATATTGGATCCTTGAACCAGCCAAGTCTTCCATGTACATTTGTAATGTCTAAAGTAAGTTAAATTTAGATTTGGAGATAAAAGTCTGGTGAATTTTAAGGTCTGCAGTGAAGAAAAAAAACCCATCTTTTATAAATCATACCATTGTAAAAGAGACAATATTAGTGAGTTTAAGTCTAAATTGCTCTTGCTTTGAAGTTCTTTTGGCCGCTGTGGTCGCTTTTGTACCGTGTGCTATGCTGGTCAAACCAGACAATAGGGCATTTCCTAACCATTAATCATTCCATATATCCATAAATACATCCACCAATAACTTTGTCTTAAGCTCACAGGACTTATAAGCAGAGAAGAACTCTTTCATCCCCGTTGAAAGAACATTCATCACTCAGGAACTGTCATTACTTCAGGTTTACCTCCAATTAGTACAGCATTAAGACGCTATGATGTAATTATGAGAGCAGCACAGCGGGGTCCTGGTAGAATTATTAATAACTAGCAGCTTAAACCCAAAGGTCCAGCCAATAACGACGCTTCAAGCAGCTCAGCACATAGCAAGGAGTGTTACGTTATTGCATATTTTACAGAACATGTAAAGGTCAGCGATGCTGATATGTACCATTTGCGGTCAAATCTCAAGAAAATGTCAAATCTCTGTGAAATTGTAATTGAAGAGAAATATATGAGGCATTCCAACCTGCTCTGTCGGGCTTTTCACAGGACGTTCTTAACTTTTTTTTAAGCTTCGGTGATAAAATAACTCCAAATGCAGTTGGACAACGCAGCTCAATAAAAGTAAACTTTTCTAGAAACTCCATGCAGATCAGGGAAAATCCTTGAGTAATTTGAACCACCTGCATCAGACGAACACTCAGATTCAAATCTCTCTGCATTTAGCTATGACTCATGGGAACCATAGGGACTGCTGTCTCTCACCTGCATGTTCAGAGATACTCGGAAAAACAGCCTGACTTCACTGTTTGGTTTGCACCGTTCCACCTGTGGTTTCAGATGTCTGTTTTTGGGCTGCTGAGCAGAGGGCCACTGGTAATTCTGTTTGATCTCGGATGAAAACTCAAGCTGGACTTGGAATGAGTGCCACTTCTGCGTGAGTAAGGGGCCCATGACCTGAAGAAAGGAGCCAAAAAAAAAAAGGCAAGAGATGAAGATCCGAGTGGTCCAAATTTGGGGATTTTTGATGACGGTGCTGGGTTGGATCTTTGTGGCCTGCACTATGGCCATGGAAGGCTGGAAGATCACCTCCATAGGAGGGATGGGAGGCTCGTCCATCATCAAAGTGGCCTGGTACTGGTCCAGCTTGTGGAGATCCTGTTTTACAGATTCAACTGCTGTCAGCAACTGCTACGATTTCCCTGTGCTCTGGTCTGTGGAAGGTAAGCCGAGATACGCACGCATTTTTCCTGCTGCGTCGCCTCTTTCTTGCATATATGCGTTAGAAAACGTTCTTTTTTTACCTTTCGTTCACATCCAGGCCACATCCAGATAGTGCGGGGCCTGCTGATGGCAGCTCTGTCTGTGGGCATGCTGGGCTTTGTACTCAGTCTGCTGGGTATGGAATGCACCTTTATCGGGGGTAAGGACCAGTCAAAGTACAGGAAGATCTACGTCGGTGGATGGTGCCACATCATCAGCGGTAAATATCTGGTTTTCATTTCACAGCAATCGTCACATTTACCCGGCTGACTTTTGACTTGAGGTGCACGAGCAAAGCGTCAAAAGTGCTTTTGGAACACGCCATCGGGCAACAAATCTGTGTTTTCATTAAAGAATGAGAGAAAAAAGCTTGATTAGAGTTACAGGTTTTAGCTGTCTGATGCAAAAGAAAGTCAGCTGACCCTTTTGAATTTGCCCAACAAATTAAGTATTTGTGTTGTCTTATATTCTGCAATGGCACAAGCAGCCCTGATAATGTTTACCATGTGTCCGCCATCACTCAGAGATAAGTTATCATACAGATCTCAGCTCGAATTTCACAACTCGGAAGCATTATGACAATCTTACATAATGTATATTTTGACCAGCTCAGAGTAAATGAACTGGATGATATGCATCACCCAATTGCAGTCCTACAACACTGATTAAATTGAGTCTGTTGTTTGCCATCTCTAGTATAGTCTTGTTTTGTGTTTTGTTTTCCTCCAGGTGCCTTGTCCACAGCCGGGTATGCCGTTTATGCCCAATATGTCTCAGTAGAATACTTCAACCCCAACTTTGATGGACTAAAGTCAGTTTAAAAGCCCTAAACTTAACCACCATTACCTTTCATCAGCGGGATTATTTATTTTTATTTGTATCTTTTTCATTAACCTGACAATTTTGCATTATTCCGGTGTGATGTTGATGAACAGGTTTGACCTCGGCACTCCGCTTTTCCTGGGCTGGGTGGGCTCTGCCTTTCAGAGTGCTGGTGGCTTCTTCTACCTGTGGTCAGTGTGCAAGCCGCTTTGTGGAGCAAAAACGTGAGTCAAAAAACAACAAAAACTTGCTAAATCAGTTGAAAAACGCGCTAAATCAGTCGATAGCTGTGGTTAAAGAGCTGGGAATCTTTTCCCTCTGTAGACAGAATCTGTTTTTCCATGTGGATCAATTTTGATTTTCAAAGTTTCTGGATGCACCTCTGGTTCTATGAGTACACAATACTGCTAATACAAAACACATTTCTGTCCTGTTTGATAAAACGGGGGTCTATGTTCCATTAGGGTAATTGTTGAGGCACAACCGGACCCGGAACAGAACAAATCCACCACAGCCCCGTCCACTGGATCGGAGATCACGTCCAAAACCAAGCTGTCCTCCGTCTCGGAGCTGTCGTCCAGATCCGATCGCTCGGGTATCTCCTCCATCTCCTCCAAATCGGGCCGCACGTCCAAATCCGGACGGACTTCCAGGTCGGGGCGGTCATCTACGACAGAGCGGACGACCACTCGAACTGTGGGGTCTGCTGGCTCCAGCTCAGGGTCAGGGTCAAGATCAAGATCAAGATCAAGATCTGGGTCTCGGTCAGGCCTATCCTCAGGATCCAGCCTGTCCACAATGTCTGCGTCCAGCAGCAGCAGTCGCACAGCCTCCTCCCTGTCCGGCAGCTCCAGGAGTGAAACCACGCTCTTCCTCAAAAATTCCTACATCTAGAAAGATGTGATGAAAAAAATATGTGGTCCATTTTAGAATCTGTACTTGAGATAGATGTTTGTTTGTATTTCATCCATAAAAGCTTTCACAAATCCGTGTCTGAAAGCGTCTCTTCTGTGTGCATTGTTGTCATTTTGAATGTGTCGGACACACACACTGGCATTTTCCCTCAGCTTTACACTAGCAGCTCTCCAGCATTCTAGACGAGTCTGGTTGACAGTAAACAGAGGCTGCTTTGCCATTCTTCAAACTGCTTTGCTATTATTCAAACCGCGAACCGAGTGCAAAAGCAAGGCCAGCGACGACGCTCGATCCGAGGCAAAGGTTTCAGGTTTTCTGTTATTTCCTTGAACTACTCGCGGTCCACCTGCTTTGCCGAGGTAGGGAAGGTCTAACCAAAGTATTAGCTTCATGTGTCTCTTCTTCTTCTCCTTAACTGTCATGCATAAAAGTGCTACGCTACCCATGATGCTCAGCATTGACTTTTTCCCTCTTTTTTTAATTAAAAAAAACAACCTTTTGTACCATTTCTTTTTTTAAATCTTCGGTAGATTGAAAGAATGTGGGGGAGATTGGCTCAGATCGTGGGCCTGCTGCTTTGCATACTGGGCTTGGGTTTAGTGGGCTGCACTCTTGCAATGGACCACTGGAGGTAGGCAAAAAAGAGCTCTGAGGGAAAGACGCGAAACGAAGTAATTTTTTTCATGTGTTAAAGGGTCATAAATGATTTTAAGTGATAACAGAATCTCTGGAGAAGGCAGGAATTCAGTAAGAATTCCCTCTTGCATGCAGGAAATGTCTGTTTTTATGTTGTTGGAGTTTTAAGCATGCCCTTTTTGTTCCCTTTTCTATGTGACAAACATTTCTTTCTTTAAGACTTTACAACTTTATTTCAAATTTAGTCCAGCATGATCTTCTTTTACTTTTTTTTGAAGAGTCATCTACAAATGATTCAATTGTTTTTTTAAATGACACCTAACTCCAGGGATGAACCAGCGCTCATCCTTGACTTTGGTGTTATTGTT